CTGGCGGCGATGACGATACAATAAGATTGCTTGATTTATTAGAAGGTCGACCAATTTATACACGGTAGTAGTGCACTTTAGCGGAACCATATAATATAAATTTTTCCTGTATTCAACAGTTGCTCGAGTTACTGCAGTACTGCAACTGGGAAAATCCGCATTTCGCACGTGCCCCACTCATATGGAATAGTAGCTTATGTCAAAAGGCTGGTTTTAGTATAATGCGGCATTCGCAGCATACCCTCACTGGCGCCGAGCCGTTGAAGAAATTTTGGATAAATAAACGTGCAAGAAATAGTTCCGATACTAGCACGTCCATATTCTTGTTAAGGGTCATCAAAAAATTCCTTGTGTTGTAAATAATAAAGGGAATGCCGGATTATACTAAAGCCAGCTTCCCGACATAAACTACTATTCCATACGAACACAGAAATATAAATGTATCTAAAACTGAATAACTCAAATCAAATTGGATTGCATTTGCATAATATACCTAATATTGGAATCTGTTTTGATCGTAAAAAATACAACTTGCAATCATTTAGATTATAGTTTCGAAAGAAATTGATTGCAATCGTAAATTGTGTAAAAATTGTTAATATCAATCTGCCTTAAATTTATGTTCCCCATGTAACGGTTATAAAATACTTTAAATCCGCACTATCTGCATTAACTAAAAATATACATTGGAATATTTAAATATTTAAATTTAATATTTAAAAATGAGTTCGCAATATGTCCGCAGCTCAGGTTGATTTGAAGAAATCCGTTTAAATTTTTCGAATTACATCTACTTGAATATAGGATAGGCAGGGTTGCATACAAATGGTAGTTCCGTAAATATTTAAAATATGTTAGTTCATTCAATATTTGCATCTGGGCCAATAAATAACAACAAATATAGCCGAAAAAAACAAAGTTTCAATTAAAACGAGTTTTTATAACCCCCCATAAAATTCCGATTAATTTTAAATACGAAAATAACGATATTTTTTCATGGAGATTTATTTTTTTAATATACCTTGTTTATACCTACACAAAAACCGGATTAGCAAAAAACCGATTGGACTCAACATATATTTCTTTACAGCATTTATCCCCCTGTCTTTATAGCGCACTCGATAAAGTCTTATTCAAAAGTAAACAAAATTGCTATTTTTAAACGACATTTTTTTAATAAATAATTTGCGCGGTTGACCGAAATGGAAACAAACAATAATTGTAATTTATTATAACAATAATACGAATTTAAAACGGGCTGTATAAAGAAAACCAGCCTATTGTCACTTCACTTTCCAATGGTGCTGATTGCTGCAAGAATTATTTAGCGATTTAGAGCATAATCAACACAATATATGCACATAAATATGTATTATTTCACAGATCTCAGGGTCAGCTTAGAAATACGTTACCAAAATTATATAAAATTTAAGTAGGAATTATTTTTATTTATAACGTAAAAGCGCTATCTGACCCAATCTGATAAGTATATTTCCCCTAAAGTTAACCCATTTTATTTAATTTGTCTCTCGTGAAAATATATATTTTATTTATAATTTTCAGATATGTACATATATTTTAAATTTTTGCTTTAATTTTTGTCTCCTTTTAATATTTAATTAGATACCTTAAGATTAAAATAAGCTTAAAACGAAACAGCACGGCAACCGTTTTCTGTTCATCTTGAGAACACAAAACCCTCTTTTGTTAAAATTCGGCGCTGCACAAAATCCTAGCTTTCCCAACAAAATACCACTTCGCAACCCTGGATTTTCACGAAGCGTTTCATTCGGGTCGTAGTTTTGCAACTTCGGGCAATTCGGTGTTGTATGCCATATTGGCTGCCATATTGTTCACACTGTCATCGCCATATTGAACACCCTGTCAACTATCTGTCAACCCTAAGATATCTCACTTGTATTCTTCCACAATGTTTTCGATGTCGGTCCGAACATGGTATTAGGGTGGCCTGTCAGAAAATTTTTCAGCAACGCCCTATTTCTAGGGATGGAAGCGATTAATCAATTGATTAAGTTCATCGATCATTTTTGTTCAATTTACGATTTTGGGCCTGTGCCAATTGATAGAAAAGAAGAAATTTTGACGGCTCAAAGTAAAAATTTGACATTTTTCGTGGTGAATATGAACGTCAGAATTTTACCTAGCTCATGGGGCTAGGTAAAATTTTGTCAGCTTATAAACATGTATGTACACACATTAAAGGTCTGCATCGGAATTCAGTATGCTTCACAGTGCAAGTTTTCCTCAAATATTTAAACTACTCATACTCTAACAAAAAGGGCATGGAAGGAAGAGAAGTGAAGATACTGAGAGCTGTATACATAAAAAAAGTACTCAAACAAATTATGTTCCTAAAAAAGAGGAACATATATCAGCAGTACCATGCTGTTAAACTTCCACAAAAAAGATATTCCTTCACAAGTATTTTTTGAGTATTTTTGGAAGTTTTCGTTTAAAGGTAAGACCGCACTAAGTGACGCGACACTGCAGCGGCACTGCGCGACACGGCGCGACACTTTTTTGTATATCGCACTGAAACTGCAGCGGCGCGACACTTCGCTGCAAATTTTTTAATTTATTTGTGTGAAAACCTTCAAAGAAGATGGATGCCAGTGACGCTGATGTAATGTTAATGCCTTTTATTTTCCTTGACGAATTCTTCTGAAATATTATGTTTCTTTACATACAATTTTTTTCTCGAATGAAATGCATGTGAATATTCACTCACAATTCGAAATCAATTTCTTCAAGTTAAAAATATAGTACGAAATGTTATGTCGCTCCGCTGGGTATACCGCACTATGCGGCTCCAGAACTGCGCGACAAGACGCGACGCGACATTTTTGCCTAGTTGGTCAACTTTGCTGCGCAGCGTCGCGTCGCGTAGCTCCGCTGCAGCGTAGTGCGGTATGCTCCATAAGAATCCATGCAAAGAATATTTTGCCGCGCTGTGTAGTGTCGCGTCGCGTCGCCTAGTGCGGTCGTACCTTAATGCTACATAATTTTAATGTTAGAGCTGACTCTTATGTTAAATAGCAAACATGGGGAAATAATGTAGGGCGCTCCGAATATTTAGCTAACAGCATATTTTTATAAAGAAAGTGGACTCATTTTATACAAAGAACCAATTTTTATGTGTACTGTCCCAGAACGCCACATATTAAATGAATATTTTACACTTTGAAATTTAATCTGGCTACTCTGTAAACTGATCGCTGTTTGCCTTTCTGCTTATTCATCGTTTTCCCTATGTCCTGTATCGCGGCGAATTCATTCGGCTTCATTTATATTCCGTCCTTGTTAAATTTTGTACATCCGTTGGCAAGCACCCGGAAAGGCACACAGCTGTGAGTAAAGCAAATCAATTTTATTAAATATGTATTTATGTGCTAAGACTGAAATAATGTTTTATGTTTAGAAATAAACCACAGCTATCGCAGGAGAAATTGTGCGTTAAATTCGCTTATTGATCCGGGGCCAACGACAACTTTATTTCGCTATATTGCAGCATCAGTGCCAATGCTGTTTCTTTGATTTGCCAGCGAAGCCCTACGCTACCGGTACATTTGCGACGGCCATCGCAGCGCCCCCGTTATTTGCGGTCGTAGCGTTACAGTTGGTTTTTTTCACATTCAATGCATTTAGGAATGTGAACCTTTTTGCCGCCAATCTTTGTTATGTGCACAACGTTTGCGATATTTTAAAATTCGACTGTCACATACGTGCCACCACTTGCGCCACATAAATTTGTTTTGTCGTCTTCTCCTCCACGCATGGAACGGACACCGCCACGTAGAAGCGCCCGCCTCATGAATAACACCAGCAACGCCACCGGTGCCTATAGTAGGGCCGCCACAACCGACCAAATGCCTATCGACGATGGAGCCCCAGCCGCCCAGCCGTTCACACGGTCGCAGGCCGGTGTCACGCCAAATCCCCGAAAATAGCTCTGCCAGTCATAACTTCGACGACATCGAGAGACGCATAGCCATGCTGGAGGTCAACTTGAGCGACACCCAGGTACAGTTGCGAGAACGTGAAGCCCAAAATGAAGTTCTTGGAGCAGCGTTATTGAGCAACGGTAGTTCTGCCGTTACTTAGGCCAGCAGCGTAGTCGCGGAGTCGCAGTCAACACCGCCAGCGCCGCCGCGATTAACGCTAACGCAATTGGGAGCATCGCTAACAAACGCATTGCCAACTAACGTACAGTCGGATACCTCTACGCCCTTTATTTAAGCCCCATCTATGCCGCCACCTACTTAAGTGAACTTGTACAGTTTCATACCACAGCCCGTTATTGGTAGCGCAATGTCTGGTAATTTGCGCAACGCTTCAGCGCTACACACGAACGATGTATTTTCATCGCAATCATCGAGCGCTCCGATACCAACAACTCAAGCACATAGTTTTAACTTCCCTAAGAAATTGCTAGACTTGCCTGATTTTAGCGGTAGGTCAGAAGACTGGCCCGTATTTTATGCAGCCTTTATGGAGTCGACGGCGGCATATGGGTATAGTAATTTTGACAACAACCAGCGTCTTCAAAAGTGTTTAAAAGGCGATGCGCGCGAGACGGTGAAATCGTTGCTGATCCACCCTAACAACGTCGGATGCATTATTGAACAGTTGAAGTTCAGGTTTGGGCGCCCAGGGCAACTGGTTCGTAGTCAGTTAGCACAGGTTAAGGAAATAGCGCCAATTCCCGAGAACCTTTTGAGTAAGCTAATACCGTTTGCGACCAAAGTAAAAAACATTTGTGCTTTCTTGCAGTCAGCTGGCGCCGAACATCATATCTCCAATCCGATGTTGCTTGATGAACTTATCGCGAAGTTACCCATGAGCAAACGCATTGAGTGGGGCAGGTACGCGACTGTTCTGCAGATGCGAGCTACTACACTACATTTCAGTGATTGGCTTACATCACTTGCCAACGTTATATGCACGGTTAACGATGAATGTCAAGATGCCGCTCGTGAGCCCAAACGTCGCATGTTACTCCATTTGGACGAGACGATTTCGAGAAAATGCCCGTTATGCCAGGGCCAGCACAAGCCAGCTGACTGCAAGCGCCTAATTGAAGTAACGGTGAGCGATCGATGGACCGAAGTTAAATCGAGGCGATTATGTTTCGCCTGCCTGAATGCGGGTCACAGTACCAGCAATTGCAGAAGACGTAAGGTTTGTGGTATCGATGGGTGCAAACGGTCACATCACAGATTGCTCCATGAGTCCCTGTCAGAGCGCCCGTCAGCTCCCTCCACGTCATCGTCACGAAGCGCCGCCCGCTCTGCGTCATCACGGTCTACGTCGCCACCGAACAATCCTCATCAGCAACCGCCTGGCGATAAAGGAGCAACAGTACTAAGTTGTGCTACCAACTCTCCAGAGAAAAAGCTGCTTGATCGCATCCAGCCGGTCACGTTATACGGAAAGCAACGCCGCGTCGACACCTACGCTTTACTCGATGAGGGATCATCTATAACGATGCTCGTTAGTAGCCTTGCAAAGGAGTTAGACTTGCAAGGACGGCCACACAGTTTGCATGGTTAATGGTCCGGAGGACATGTGGTTCAAGAGCCTACCACTTTAGTTGGCCTACATATAAGCGGTGCTGGTATGAAAAAAAGGCACAGACAGCAACGAGTTCACGCCGTACGAAACCTTCAGCTGCCGATACAAAGCCTTAGCCGCACCGATTTAATACTGGACGACAAAGAAGTGCGGCATATGCCAGTGCAGCCCCAATCCGGTGCGACCCCACGACTCCTCATCGGCATAGACAATTGCCACTTGGGTTTATCATCGACCACCGAACTAGGCTGGGTGGTGTTCGGTCCAGTTAGTAAATGCTCGCCTTCGCCTATAACGTGCCTATTTGTGAAGTCCAGTCGGGATGAAGCGCTTCATAACATGGTCGCTAATTTTTTGGAGACTGAGAGCTTTGGTGTGAGACCATTGCCACTTATCGAAAGCGAGGCCGACATCCGTGCACGAGCCATCTTGGAGTCGACAACCTGTTGTGTTGGATCACGCTTCCAAACTGGACTGCTATGGAAGCACGACGACGATCAATTGCCAGATAGCTACGGAATGGCGCTCAATAGGTTAAGGAGCGTTGAAAGAAAAATGAGTCGTGATGTTGGATTTTCTGTCGCCTATAAGCAAATCATTGACAGCTACGTTGAGAAGGGCTACGCGCGTAGACTCACAACGTCAGAGCTCGCTTTGTCGATGCCATGTAACTGGTACTTGCGGCATTTCGCGGTAGTGAATCCCAACAAGCCGTCCAAACTGCGAATCGTGTTCGACGCTGCCGCCGAGGTCAATGGTATCTCCTTAAACAGTCGTCTACTTAAGGGGCCACAAGAATACAAACCGTTGCCGTTTATTCTTTTCCGGTTCCGTGAAAGGCCAGTTGGCTTGTGTGGCGACAATAGGAAAATGTTCCACCAAGTGCTTGTACGCCCAGAGGATAGACGCGCCCAGAGATTTTTATGGCGGGACGGTGACTATGTCCGAACTCCCGATGTGTACGAGATGCGCGTGATGACGTTTGGAGCTGATTGCTCACCTTGTGCGGCCCACTACGCTAAAACACGAAACGCGTTAGAACACGGCAGCGACAGCCGCTATACAGCCCGCGCTGTAACCGCTATTTTAGAAAATCATTATGTGGACGACTTCGTACATAGCTTCAACTCGCCAAGGGAAGCCATCAACATCGGGGCACAGGTAAGAGCGATTCACATGGGCGCCGGCTTCGAGCTTCGCAATTTTACATCGAACTCGACGGAGGTGGTTGCTGCATTGGATGGCGTTGACGTCGATAAGGCTATTGCGGTAAAGAACGGTCTGGGCACTGAGCGGGTATTGGGTTTGCATTGGAACTCAACGACTGACAACTTTAAATTTCGACTCAAGTTCAATAACGTGAGTGAAGCGGTGATGAGCGGTACTAGATGTCATACGAAGAGGGAGCTCCTCAGTGTGGTCATGTCCATATTTGATCCGCAGGGGCTCCTGGGTAACTTTGTTGTCACGGCGAAGCTGCTAATGCGAGAGGTGTGGAGACATGAAACGCGCTGGGATGAGCCACTTCCAGTCAACATTGGTGCGTCATCGGAAAAGTGGCGGAAGCAACTGCCATCGGAAATCAGGTATACCTGTCCTCGATTATACTTCCGCAAGGGTGCGCCGGAAATACTACAGCTACACACATTTGTTGACGCCAGCGAGAACGCCTTTGCTGCCGTCACGTATTGGAGAGCCAAGAACGCTCGCGGTGAGGTGGAGGTTGCCTTCATTTGCGCGAAATCTGAGTGCGCTCCATTTAAGCCGCTTACTATACCGCGCTTAGAGCTGCAAGCTGCCGTTCTAGGGACGCGGCTACAACAATCCGTATGCGAAGCACACTCCTTTAAACCCGACAAACGTTTTCTTTGGTGTGATTCATCGACGGTTATTAAATGGGTTCGAAGCGAGCACCGTAAATATAAGCCGTTTGTTCAGCACATAATTGTTGAAGTTTTAGCCAGCACTCAAGTGTCCGAGTGGCGATGGATACCTACGGTAGAAAACTTGACCGACGAAGCCACGCGCGCGAACCATGCAAATCGCGTTTCGACCTACTGCGCGCTGGGTACAAGGTCCGTCGTTTCTGCGAGAAGAGGAGCAAGCCTGGCCCTCCGAAGATGCAGTTCCCCCCGAATCAGAAGAGAACGATGAAGAGCTACGACCACAACACGCATTAACCATCGTAAGCCAAAATTTCTTAAACCTTAATCGCTTCTCTTCATACAACAGGTTGTTGAGGACTACAGCCTGGGTTATACTGTTTGTCAAAACTTGTCGCCGAATCCAAATTAAGACTCCTTACGGTCTAAGTACTGGCGATCTCTAAGCGACGAAACTGCGAATCCTTCCCCGAAGAAATGCAGCACATACGCGATGGACAAGACATAACGCGGCATAGCTCGTTGCTGCAATTGCTGCCATACCTAGACGAGGATGGCGTACTACGTGCTCGCGGCCCCCTTGATGCCGCCAGCTGGCTTCCGATCTACACGAGGCACCCCATAATATTGCCACCCACTCACGCGTATACGCAGTTAGTCACAGCAAATCATCACGTTCTCATGGTCCATCAAAATTCTGAAGCTGCTATATGCGCCATCCGCCGCGTTTACTGGGTACCTCGGCTAAGGACACTCCTACGCAACGTCATCGCCAGCTGTAATGTGTGCCGCCACTAATGGGGCCGCTTCCCATCGATAGACTCACGCCCCACGTAAGGGCGTTTACATACACTGGCATGGACTATTTTGGACCCCTCAATGTAACAGTACGGCGCAGCACCGAAAAGCTGTGGGTGACAATTTTCACCTGCCTTACCACACGATCAGTGCACTTGGAAATGGCACACGACTTGAGCACTGACTCCTGCATCATCGTCCTTCGCAACTTTGTTAACCGTAGAGAAGTGCCTGTGAGGTTGAGATCGATAACGGGAAAAACTTCGTTAGCGCCAATAATGAAGCCAAAAGATTTACTGAAGTTTTCGACTGCGAGCGTGTGTAGGGTGAATTGTGGCATCGATTGGGTATTTAACTCGCCGTTTAACCCAGCTGAAGGAGGCGCCTGGGAGAGGATGGTGCAGTGCGTTAAGCGAGTGTTGCATCAAACGCTCAAAGAAGTCGCCCCACGTGAGCACACACTCAATTGCTTCCTGCTCGAGGCGGAAAACGTCGTCAACTCCCGGCCTCTCACGCACCTGCCCATCTCTCCCAACCAAGAGCAGCCGTTAACGCCGAACGATTTCCTGCTGGGGTCAGCCAATGCTGCGCATACGCCCAGTGTGACCTTAATACTATCCAGTCCTCCTGCTATACGTCAGCAGTGGCGTATCGCTCGTCAACTCAGAAACCATTTCTGGAAGAGATGGGTGCTGGAGTATCTCACGACTCTAACACGTCGTGAGAAGTGGTGTCAACCAACAAAACCGTTGAAGGAAGGGGTCTTAGTATTCCGGTGCGACCCTTACGTTCCAAGAAGGCAATGGTGCCGAGGCGTGGTGGAGCAGTTGTATCCTGGCAACGATGGTGAGATACGGCAAGTTGATGTGCGCACGAACTCCGAGGTGAAGCGAAGAGCCGTTGCAAAGTTAGCCGTTCTGGATGTTGAAGTTGGTGAATCGGATGATTCACGGGGGCGGGGATGTGCCAGAACGCCACCTATTGAATGCATATTTTACACTTTGAAATTTAATCTGGCTACTCTGTAAACTGATCGCTGTTTGCCTTTCTGCTAATTCATCGTTTTCCCTGTGTCCTGTATAGCGGCGAATTAATTCGCCGTCATTTATATTCCGTCCTTCTTGTTAAATTTTGTACTTTCGTTGGCAAGCACCCGGAAAGGCACACAGCGGTGAGTAAAGCAAATCAATTTTATTAAATATGTATTTATGTGCTAAGATTGAAATTATGTTTTATGTTTAGAAATAAACCACAGCTATCGCAGGAGAAATTGTGCGTTAAATTCGCTTATTGATCCGGTTCCAACGACATGTACAATACGATACCTTCATTTCCCAATACCAGACGCACATACATATGAAATAGTAAGCTTTCCATAGGCATACATTTGTTTGCAGAAGTTTTTAATTCGTTTGTAGAAGCCTTTGGAAATTCACAAAGTAGAAGTTTGGAAATTTAAAAATTTATATAAACAATTTTCTGCTTAGAAATAGAAAAATTGTTACTTCACATGTATGAGCGCCTGGTATTGGGAAATGAAAATATCAATTTGACAATGAAAACTGGTCATAAAGACAGGTCGCGGGAAAATGGACACACATTTTTGGATATTTAAAAAATTTACATAATATGTCTGTACATAAATCATGTATATTTATGAAAGATTCGAACTTTTTTGCAAAAATTGAAGCGTCCGGCGAGAAATGTAGAATAATATTTTAAGTATATATTGGAATAAAAAGAAAATGTATGTCTTTTCTTAACATTATGTTAAATGCTAACATTTAAAAGAAAAAAATTCATAAATATTCCTATACTTCCAATGGAGTTTTCAAATACTACTGAATGCAATCAACATACTCAAGTACTCTGGAAAAGCGGAACAGTGTTTTATATAGCAGAGCTCTGTTGAGTAACATTGCTCAGTTCCTCAAATCTTTTTAAGTACTCTAAAATATATGTTCCATTTACTCATGTACACATGTGAAGAGTATTTCTGCTGGTATATTTGTAGTGCTTTAATACACATAATATTGCTTGGCATAGTTGCCAACTTGGTGCTTTAAGCACTAGATTTAGTGCTTTTTGAAAATTAAAACGCCAAAAAAAATGATTTAGTGCCTAGTGCCCTTCTTAGTGCTTCTACAAATTTAAATGCACTTAAATACAACCATGACTGATAAAAAGCTGTACATGCAAACCCTCCTTGTTCAATTCTATTCGCGTTGAAAATGCTGGTAGATATGCGAGTAGGTTAAGTATTTTTTTTATTTTCTAATTATTTGTAAAAATTTGTATTTTTGTACCACTCAGTAAAACCCATCGTTTCTTGGTGCTGAATCCAAATCTGGCCGCACAATTGCTCCAGTACTAGAATTTTGAGATATCCTAACCTCAAAGTGCCAAAATCACGGTTTTTGGCGATGTTTGAAGTTATATAATGAAAACATGAATTTTTTTTGCTCACTTAGGGCATGATTTTCGTTTGTTGGGATTCGATTTTTCTTGAGATATATCAGTTTTAATGTGCAGTACTTCGGTATTACGTCGTAAGCATGAGTCATTATAGCATGTGGCCTTTCAATCGTTATGAGCCAAAAAGTTTTGTGTATTGATTTATGTATGCATTCTTATAAATATTGTTAATTTTTTGTTTTTGTTTTGTTACAAACTGTTATGAAAAAAGCATCCATTGATTCAAAACCATTTGGTGCTTTTAGTGTGGTAAAACGCTTTTTTTCCCCAAGTTTTTGGTGCTTTTTGAAAATCAAGAGTTGGCAACACTGTTGCTTGGCGGTAATAAAGAGCGAACATGAAAATGAGAGCTGAAAAAGCACAAAAAAAGCGTACGCTACTTGCAAGTTATAATTCAAATATAACTTTTAACAATTTCAGCAACACACAAAAATTAAGCTTTCACATGAGCGTTTGTTTGGTTTTTCAACTGTCAAAATTTTACTTTGCATTTGGCACAGCAAAATTCAATTTATTTGTACACCATAGCAAATTTTTCCATCCCGTCTCACCACGGAAAAAAGTTACCTATTGGCATAGTCCTTTATTGTAAAATTTCAAGCAGCCGCAAGAATTCCTCATGTCCAGAGCATACAATGGTGTAAATCAGTTCTTGCCTGACCGTGCCAGAGTAAACACTAATGTCATAAGTGTACGCACCGTGGTGTGTAGAACCTAATTGACAAAAACAATTTTCAAAGACAGTTACTCGAGTTAAAAACTTGTTTTGCAATTGAACAAACAAATAAACTTCAAGAAAAACATGTATTTATCAATGTTATTGTGGCTTGTTAACATTTTTTATTTTTAATATTTTTATTGAGCTTTGTACCACGATTGTTTATTAGGAAAAATTGAAAAAAATAAAAATATTAAAAAAAAAAAAAAGAAAAACAGTTAAACGTATAAGGTCGATGTTATGCAGAAATTTTGTTTGGCAAACTGCGTGCAATTGTTGTTGCAGCAAACTCGGAGAGAGCGAGTTTGGCGACTCTCACAGCAAACTAGTTTTGTTTGGTCAAACTGCAGCTAATTCGGTGTTGTCATATACAAAAATTTTAGACAATTGTTGCATTACACAAAAATTGCCGTGATACCGAAAGCCAGAGAACTGAATTTATGCAGTAAGAGCTTCAAAAACTAGGGCACAGTTAATTGCCTATACGATATAAAAAATATATTAACTGTGCGCGTTATGTACATCTGAAATTCTCATTTCGTGTTGGCAATAGCCATGAAAACCATAATGAACGTTCAACCCTGTGTCAAACTCGACAAAACCACCTTCGAGCAAACTAAGCAGCCGCCATTTAATTTGGCAAACAAAAGTTTGTCTGCATAACCCCGACCTAAGTAGTGACATTGCTTCGACCGTTATGCGGTCAACAGAAGCTAATAAATGAAGAAAGACAATGACTAGCGACAGCGGTCGCCGTAACTATTATAGTACTCTGCAGGTGACAGGTAATAAGGTCAATGGAAATAAGGTCAATTGACTTTA